GACTAGGAATCAGCACCCGCAAGAAGATTTGGAATATCTCAAAAAATGGCGAAGTTACCCCTTGGACGTACTTTCAAAACGCGGTATAAACGCACCCCTTGGGGTACAAACGAAAGTGAGGGTGGTACAAACCTCTACGGACGTCCCTTTTTATGATGGCTTTGAAAGAATTAAAAAATGTTAAAGTGGGGTGCTGGGGTATTTTTCACCCCCTAGTAACTTTTCACCCCTTGGGGTACAAACGAAAACAAAGGTGGTACAAACGGGTACAAACGATGCTAAATACGATGCAATTGAAAGAAATAAAATTTTTGAAAGTCGGGTGCCAGGTTCAGGTAGGTAGAGTCGACTATGCCCACGAGTGTACGAACACTAAAGCCCATGGTTTCGCATTAACACCATTGATTGAGGCCACGTTCGTTCGGACAGTGGTTCTCAACTACTCCACGAGCTCAACTGCAATGACATCGAGATCGTAGTCCATGTAACGATGCACGAACGGCAATTCTCCGCTGCAACTCGGATAATGGGCATAATTGCTGCAACTACCAGTCCGTTATTAGACCTGTTGCTTCTTGAGAACCGTAGAAAGACCTCGTCCCTTGATGGTGCTCAATTCACCTTCTTATGGCGAGGACATTTAATTGTCCAAAATTTAAATTTGCATAATAAAATCGTCTCTCGCAGCTAGGTATCAAAATATTATACGCTTTGTCGAAATTTTATTGGGCTCTAGTTTCTCGGTGATTTGTGATATCTGTTTCTGACTCCAACCACTAATCGCAGAGAAGAATATTCGTTCTGCCAGCAGAAACCTGAGATACGATAGGCGTTGACGTAGACCCTGCCGGCCACTTCGAAGCGACCCTGGCTCTTCGAGGTTTGGTCCAGAGCCAAAGCAACATGCTTACTCCCTCCCCGCTGACCTTCTTCTTTTCCGCTCCTCTCCATGACTTCCGCCTAGGAGGATCTGTTCTACCTCACGGAATTAGAAAAGTATTTAGACGTGAGTGCAGTTTCGGGGCTGACTTCAACAGGTCAGGTGTGGGAACAGTGCTGCTGCCTCTCTGCTTATAATGCGTAGAAGAACCTCTATGTGGTTGATGTTATTTTTTGAGATTTAGTGACTGGGGACATGTATTCAGATTACTCTGTTCATTCTTCAAGTCTTATACTATTTGCAAATCCCTATATTCCTAAATGTCTGCATTTCAAGTTGTCACATGTGCAACTATCCACGTTCTCAACTTTCAAGTCTTGGCATTCCTCAGTTTCCACATTTTAAATTCCCACATTTGAATGTAGGCGGGTTTCCAAGTTCCTACATCACTAAACTGCAATCTTTATCCAGTCGCTTGCAAAGTCCTTCAGTTCCAATCACCGATGTTTGTAAATCCCTTCAGTTGTCCATTTCCCGGGCCAGGTCAAAATGACCCTAGCCATAAAAGGTTAACCAAATCCGTTTAAGACGTTACTTCGAAGACGCCATTGAAAAGGGAATGAGACAGGTTTGAGTCCCTATAAATCAAAGGTTGTCGAAGGATTCCAGTGTTTGTCTGGAATGCTGAGACGCGACATTCCGGCATGGAAAAGTCTGCAGTGCACCACTGTTACTGGAACCATTCCATTTTTTCCCTCCCCACCGTTGGTATTTCCGTTTTTCTTCGTCTCCTGCTTGCCTCAACCGAGGCACACTTAAGTGTGCCACCATATCGATTAAACGTCTCGCTGAACCGGTCATCGTTGATACTAATTAAGTAAACGTTTTCCTTCTTCCCTCCTTATACTTCTTTGTCTTGAGGCCAGGAGAGCCAGGAAGCCTCTGAGAGTCCTTGAAATCGATCATGTCTGCCGTTCCAATTTCTTTCTGGGTTTCCAGCATGAGAACCCCTGTGACTGGCACACAATATGCCGCGTGTGTCATTGGCATCATTGAATAAAACCACCTCTGACGTTTACTTTACACCCGGCTTTATTATCTGGGCTGATCATGCCACCTATAGCAACAGTAATTTACTTGAAAGTTCACGCGTAACGCTTCTATCGAAATTCTAAAAACCTGATCTAAAAGTTCTCCAGATTTATTAGCGAACAGTTCAATATTTGCAAAGTGTAATATAATCAGTTAATAGTCCTGTACAGCCATATCTAATATTTTTATCAGCAGCGCTTCATAATTATAACCACTATTGTGACCACGAAGTGGACAGACATACATAATTGATGATGAACGACCTGTTAATTGGTGGTAATCGATCTTCAATGGGCTCGAGGCTCGAGTGCGATCGAGATCGGTATTTATAGAAAAGCGAAGGAAACACCGGGGCCTTGGTATCAAATTTAGAATTGTGACCACTCTGCTGTCGATATATCAATTCGGTAAAGAAAAGTGGGATCCTCAGGGAATCCCTAGGAAAACCCTGGAATCCCAAGAAGAGGAACATAGAGAAATTCCGAGAGGCAGAATCTGCAGATATTCTAGGAACACACTAACCTAGAACCACTAAGTCTAGAAAATGTGGACAAATACAACGAACGGTACTTTTCTTTTCCTCCGTTTACTTAAATCCTAAGCTGTACGTGCCTGAAAAAGCATTTGATCTTTAGAATATCCGGTATATAATTTCAAGTGTTTGAACATAATAAAAAGAAATAAACTATCTGTACCAAAGCACACTGCATCGCTTCTTTTCCAAAACATGCAGCTTTTCTTCCTTGATCTCAAATCAGGTACGCAATCGTGTTTTGCAAGCGAACACACCATGAAGTTGGCGGTTTTGCAAGGAAAAAGTTCTCACGGAAGACATTTCGTATTGTTCTCTCCAAAAAGAACCGCTTCTCTCGCCCTTGCACACCGTCTTTCTCTCTCCAGTACGGATTTCGTCAGCTTTCGCCTGTCTCCGTTCCTCCTCCTTCTTACACGTAGCGCCGTGAGATTCAGCTACTGTGGAGTGACGAAAACGGGGATATAAGCAGGAACAATGTGAGAAAAAGAGAAAAAGTAGTACAAAAGGTAAGAGAAAAAGAGACGTCTTTTGTCCGATGCGTTTGAGCGTCTTTCTAGTTTTTTTTTCAAGCATTTCCAGTAAAGCCTAGCAAAATCCCATTATCGGGGGCTCGTCGCGAGCCGACGAGACACGAAGCTACCCGTCGTGCCTCGCGAGACCCGGGAATTTCAAACGCGATTACAATCGTTCTTCGAATTTTCATTAAAACGAATAAATCTGATAGTGAAATATATACGGATTAATTACTAAAGAAATTCTGAAGCAAGAAACTATGACTTTAACGTGAAGTTATGATAAAATTCTGTGAAAAAGAACCAGTGTCTTGACCGCTGATGTTTACACGTGTCTCGAGTCTCCTCCTGCCTGCACTTTCTTATTTGTGAAATTATATCCGTCGAACACTTGTCTTTAATTTGTATTTTGCCTGGACAGGGATATTCGATAGGCGGACCTTTTATTTCTGCCGCAGAAATTTCACATGAAACGGAAGAAGCATCTCAGTCAGTTAATTTCACTGTAACGATTGACTCCTCCCCGTCTCTCCCTGTTCATGGCGGCGTACAGATTGATACGTTCTACGAAGTCTGCAACGCGCGGCTCGTTTTAATTCGAATAGACGATGACGGCAAAATCGATCCTGTCTGATGAAAGAGTCCGCCGCCGATTTGAAAGCTTTAATGGAATTCCTGTTCCCAACGAAAACGCGATGGCAGAAAAAAGTTGGGAATAATGCTGTAACCAGGGAAGAAGAGTTCTATCCCCGTTGAAATTTCGTTTTTAATTGAACGACGAAACTGCTATTCGTTGAGTGCCATCAAATATTTTGCTCTTTCGACGTTTCGTTATTCTTTTAGCTTGACAATCTGAAACTGATCGAGTTACAGTGAATTTCGTGGGACGGCAGAGTAATTAGATTTCATACTGAAATTTTCATAGGCTGGAAGTTTTGCATGAAATATAAATTGAGGGTAATTAAGATAGTTTCAGAAACAAAAGAAATCGGTAATTATAGAAGAAACGTGGCGCTAATGAATTCATGAAGTGAACGTGAGTATTCGTGTCACGTTTGCATTATTCAAACGCGAGGAATTACAATGGTTTAAGTTAAACAAAATTAATCGACTCACGCAGACATCGAATTACTATAATACTTTGTATAATTAATTATAAAATGGATGATTAATTCGATGCGTCATTATGTTATATAGCAATAAGATTAATTGCGTTGCGAAAATTATCAGTGTGTGATCAATAATCAATTTTGCCAGAAACGTGGCTTCACATTGTAAGAAAGTATTTATAAATTTTTAATCAAATCGTTTCAATGAATCTTCCTTTCAACCATCCCAATTAGCAAAAACAAAATCTATGTATATAGTAGCTTTCTGCTTCCCGTCGCTCTATTGGATCAATGAAACGTTAAAACGCCAGCGAATGATAATTAAACGGCGACGGAACATCGCGTGGAAAAGTCAATAATAAATAGCGCGGTGAAATTAATTATGAGAATGAATAATTCATGCATCTTCATTTGCGTCGATTACTCTGTACGTTCCCACAAATTTTTCTAAAATTTCAAACCGTGATCTTGATTTTTATGAGGTACGTACCGCTAATTAATTAACACCTCGATTACATCTGGCGTACAATGTTTCATTGTGTAACTCAGTCGAATGAAATATCCTCGAGATTCCCAAAATCTTACTCATTCGAAGTAACATTCACGGAATTCGAGGAATGATCAATCGAAGAAGCAAGAAATCACGCGTTTGCCAGAGGAATCGAGTTTTCCTTGAATTCGAAATTGAATAGAAGAAAATTGCGTTTCTTGCAAGACGCACACGATGACCCCCGAAGAGACGAGGTTTCGATTCGATTCGAATCGATTTATCGTTCTCGTGTTCCTGACAACGCTTGAGGCGTTGAATATATCGTTTCCTCGATAGCTCGTGCTTCTGTTTACATTTCCAATGCATTATCAGCATAGCGATTAGCTTATTCGCGAGCAGGCATGCGAAAAGTCCATACATCTGCCATTCAAAGTTGTCACTTTTACTCTGAAAAAGCACCAAAATAGTCAGAGCAATCGATTTTCCAAGAAAAAACTGGTTATAATTATAATCATGAATTTTTTAAGCGAGCGACTGCTCAGCAAAAACAACTTATAAGAGTTGCTAATAACTTTCTTATAAACTCTTTAAAGTTTCATTACAGACTAGATAACAGTTTCCTAGAAGTGCATCCATAATTTTTATATTGCAATATATCAATACATACTTGCTTGATCGACGACTTTTATTACCGTTGAATAACTGACGTTTGAATTTTCGCGCCTTTCTTGAAAACTCCCGCTAATACTGTCAATGAAAATGCAACAATTTTTCTGAGCTTTCAAAGAATCATATTTCACAATATTCAATTAAATCCTGAACTATTATCAAGAAATATTACTCAATGATCTTCAGAATTATGTCTGAAATATTTAAAATGTTAAATTATTGGTGTCAAATACTTTCTAGGGACAAGCTATGTTTAAAAAGTTCAATGACTCCGTGTTAAAATACTTTGGCAATTCGTACAAACTCTTTTCAGGGAGAAGAGTCAATTTGCATTCGAGGAGTAATTTTAGACCATCTTGTGGACATAAATAAAAATGTAACCGTACCGTTTCTCTAATGGCCGATTTACCCGAGAAGCAACGTTATTTGCATAACCTTTTACACAGCAGAAACCATTAGCACAACATATGTTCAACTTTCATGACTTACTGCGATTTCAGAAAATTAAGAACGGACATCGATCTTTCATCGTCAATGTCCTCTTCTTCGATTCAGACTTTCCGTCTAGGGAAATTTTCCAGAACACTAAAATAGCGATAAATATGAAATCGACTTCTAAAATTGGAAGATTCGTGATTTAACTCTCTAAAGAGATCACGATAGACGATTTTCAAGATGTTTCATTTATAGCGCTTCCTCGAGGTCCACATAAATTTAAATAAATTACAGAAACCTATGCGCTCGAGTAACCTTGTGGCGCGAAAACTCAATTACGAAGAACGCCCGATAAAGAATTAGAGGTGCAATACAGACTCGCGATACTTTATCGATAGCTCGACGATACTTAACGATACATCGATAGTTATCGACAGTAGTTCTAGAAGAAACGTCTCGATAGATGAAGTCGAAGAAAGAGATTGCAATTGTTGCTCTGTTAGAAGATGGAGATTTGAATTGCTATTAACAAACGGTAAAAAGGAAAACGTGTAAAATTCATGCTACATATTTCGAACTTTCCAAGAGAAATATGGCGGATCGAAAATCTGTTGCTTGGGACGGTACACGTCACTAACGCAACACACAAGCCACCACATACGACCGTTACTCCCTATTTGCTTAATGAGTTAAGGACGCCAGTGAAAAATGGCGTCTAATCGCCTTCGGATTCTATCACGATTCTGCATGCTGTGTTACGTAAGTCGGCTATCAATTTCATAGATTTCCGAAGTGACGTGTATCATTGCCGCCAGTCGTTTTTCATCGAGTACCGTTGAAAAAATCACGCGACACCTCGACTAACCTAGTCAACCGAGTGTCCACTCGCTACATTTCTATCAGACCAATTCAATTCGTTTATTATTAAATTAACCGAGCTCTTGCATCGTATCCATTTTCTTCATCAGAAACCGAACGTGTTTTTTCAAACCGACTGCTCGAGTCAGTTTCACGACTAAACTCATAACGATAATAATCGAACATAGGTAACAACAATAATCGAATAGTCGTATACGCGCAAAATTTAACGATAAAATCGTTATTGCGATTACGGTGCGCGCTTTCCGTTACCTCGGATATTTATGGATTACCATAATTCGATCGACTTTGTGGCGATCGAAGGATGTTACAATTTCACGCGTCACCAATTTACTTTTCCGTCGTGTCGCGAGGAGGAGGAGGAGCGTGTCGGCAAATAGTTTCCACGCTACCGGGCTTCAAAAGCTCGAGTTTCGAAACCGAGACTTCGTTTCGGGGGAAAACGTTCGAATTACCAATTTTAACCGGCCGTATCCCGCGGTTTTCATTTCCAGCGATCAACCCTATCAGGCAATAGCGTATACATACACAGCTAAACATACGGCTTCGGGAGAGAGAAGACCGCCGGAAATGGGAAATGCGTTGGAGAGCGGAGCATGGTACAATCGGAAACCCTTTTCGTCGGACTTTCATCGTTTCCGTCGGAACGAGCCACCATGTTAGCGTTGCTTCGAGCTGCCTGTATTGCGCAGCGACCACGTCGAAAAAACTACACAACTCGGCAAAAAACATTTGTTCTTCGTCGAAAGGGACAAAATACGGCTACGAAAAATATCTGCATCCACGATTGTGCATTATCGGTCGGAGAGCAACGGCCCCGTTACGCCGTCGACTTTCGTCCGCTCGCGGACAAATTCTCGCCACGATTTTGCTGCGAATCGATATCCAACTATTTCTCTCGGCAAGCGGCACGAAATGGACTACGGTTATTTGTCGAGAGAAAACTTGTCGGGTTTCGAAATTTGGTTAGTAGTCGGGTGAAAAATGTTTATGGTCTTGACCGTAAATTATCACCGGGGATGGACGATCCAGTATATGACCGACACGGGCAATTCTCGGTACGGTTTATGTAGAACGAAGGGGACAAAACATAAAGTGCGATAGATGATCGCAAATAGGAAATCACGATTTCGACCCGTTTCCGGACCGACCTTCGTACCATCTGCGGCACATAAACAAGTACGGAGGGGCTATCTCGATAATGGGCCACACGATATAGAGAATGAGACCCCGAGTGAAGCTGGAATGGCGTTAAAAGAGACAAGTCGAAAAAAAAGTAGGCAAGTCGTACTTACAGCATCTCCTTGGCGGCTGAGCTCGCGAGGCACATCACGCTGGTGGCGGCACAGCAGTCACGGTCACAGTCACGTAAGCTCTGAACAACGGCCACAATTATGTCGACGACGGACACAAGTAACGAAACACTCATCACTGTCACCAGCCTTGCCCGTTTTTGGCAGTGGACGACGATACGGATAGAGTCCAGGAGCCGTGCGCGTCCGTGCTCTACACAGTCGAAGAAAACGGGCAATTTCCTTTCCGTCCTCGTTCCGCCTGCTCGTCCTTTAACCGCGAGAACCTGCGAACACTTCGATGCAACACAATTATCGCACTTATCCGGCACCCAGAAGAAAAATCCGACACACGGAGTCGGCACTGAGCCACTGCCGTACAGGCAGAGCCGATTGGAGGAGGAGAGCAGCACGCTCCTGGCTCGTACGATTTTAACCTCGCTAGTACTGATTCGATGCAACCGAGTTTCTTGACTGAGCGGCCGATCCTCACCGAGCCGTGCCCCGCGAGACCACACTGCTGCCAACTGTTCTAGCCTTTGACCCCCACATCACTAGCTTCTTTGATGGCGGTGTTATTCAAAATTCGGCGAGATGATTATCAATTTATCCTGTCATTTCAACGTTTCACTATATTACCATATTACTACTCCACTCTTCCGCTTTTAACTTGTATCAGTCAGTCCTTCACTATTTTTTTAGCTAATAAAAAAGTATATGATGTCAGACACTGTTCATTGAAGTAACATAATAAGATAGAACAAAGACGTACCTTTTTCAATTCAGAAACTTATTATAACTTCAAAGTAATGTTACAAACAGAGTCATTCTCGCATCTTGTTCGTAGAATAAGAAATCATCCAATTATCAACTCTTACACTTCTGGAACAAAATTATCTGCGCAGATTGCATTCATACAAGTTCGAAGACAACGTACTCACTGTATACAAGGAGCTAATTCTTCCTACAAATCTGCCATAAATCAAACGTAAACTTATATTACCATTTTCTCGATAGCATAAAAGAAGTTTGTAAAAATCTTTTCATCCGCAATCGATCGGACAGATGAATTTTTCCATCCCGCCAAAGAGAAAGCTAACGGACAACTCAAGAGTTTCTTAAGGTGCTAGGGATATTTTGCGACTGCATGTTGGTGACAAAAAATCATACATTGGTCACTCGCCGAAGTGGCGGCACACGATTGGTCGACTAGCGGCTTGTTCAATGGCGTGGCAGTAACTAGTCCAATAGAGGGGGAATTCTGAAGCGTCCAACTGCAACGGTGAGGCCCTGGTTTTCCATAAGAGTCCTAACCTGTCGGCTGTGCTTGGTCTCGATCACAACATCGATTTCGTGTCGAGAATAGCTTCGTTGAGAAGCACGTCGTTCTCGAGACTGTGAAAATTGTGTCTGGCTGGCCGGACGGTCGCGTCGCGACGCTCGTGCTTTGTGGTTCGCCATTACTCGCAAGACAACGTTTCAAGAAACGATGACGAAAAGCTGAGAGTACGGTGTTCGTATCGTGTATGAGGTAGGATCACTTTTGTCATGTATTCTTGACAAGTGCAGTGTTATTTGGTAAATTTATTCAAGTGAAATGCAATTTTTCCTTTTTTGCTAGGGAATGTTATTCAATATTTGTCGAACGTACGTGTTTCGTTGAGTGTTGATCTGCAAAATAAACAGTACCGATATAGATCTTCAATGATCATTTGGAAATTTATCATTTTTATTCAGTTTTCGGTAAATATTGAAAAGGGACAATTCATGAAAAGTGTTCTTAATTATATCTGCAGTAATTGACCTTTTAAACACAGGCTAGCTTGTGTACTTCGATAAGTGTCGTATTTTTTTATGCGGCAATTACGATTAATGTATACAAGGGGGACTGTTGATGAATAGTGTGCAATCAATTGCGCGTGTTATTTGATAATCGTGTGTCATAACTTGCAGTAAGAAAAGTTTGTTTAACGTGTAAATATATGACAACAACTATTGATTCGTTTATCGTCGTGATACGTGATATTTTTTCGTGTAACGTGCAATGAACTTTCAAATGATGTTCCCATTACATCTCAAACTTCCGTACGTTTATAGATTTACGATTCTCGAAAGTGATGCGAGTCGAGTTATCGATAATGTGTTAGTAGATTTACGACGCACATGACATTTGTTAAAGCATCGAAAAATTATTAGCATCATTTGATGCAGTTACTAATTTATCACCGAGTTTTAATTGTGTTCTTAACATAGAAAATGTATGCAATTACTAACAAATGCACTCGCATCAAATTTATAGGTTATGTGAGTGATACGCACATGTCTCATTTAAATCGATACATTTTTGTTCGATCGTACTGTTACTAAATTAAGATATCGTCGAGTTTAATCCATAAACGGTAAGTTTTTATTTGTTTATTCAGTTGATTTTATGTTTTTAAATAAAATATTCTTTATTTAGATCTCAATAATACTGATTTCTGCGTCGGGCACTGCAAAGTTTAAAGACAGCACTGTATGCATGTTGAATTAAACATGTAAATGTAATATACATATGTATTTCATATCGAGGTCACGACCCAGGAAATACTCGATTGGTAATACATTTCTGTGAAGTTTTTAAAGCAGATGCAATCATAATAAATTCATTAAATGGCGTAATAAAATTATTTATTTTAAATATTCGAATTAATATTCATCGAGTATTATCACGGCGTTTGTAAACAAAACATCTGTTTTTATGACAATGAATTAAAATTAACATGAAAAAAAAGGTTAACGTAACACGAGGCGTCTTAATTAAGCACCAAAATTTTGACACAAAAGGATCTTGGACAGGGATGCATTTATATGGTCTTATACACCATACCGTTCGCTGCAAACCGGTTTCATAGCGGCCTTCTGAGAACTCTATCGAATTGACGATAAAATTATACCGTTCCCCATTTTTACAGTATGTGTGTATCATGTCGAGTAGTTTACGGTCGTTTCTAAAAATACATGATCAGATCGCATACGTAAAATACGTCAGTATGTAAATAAATCGTTTCTAAATTATTCCAATTTCATGTTCACGCTTCAAATTTAAATGTACTGTCTGCCAGTGACGGATTTAAGGAAAGATAGGGCGACTACTTACATCCTCTAGATTCCTAGATTTCCTCAGGATATTTATATTCTAACTTTTCTATCTTTTATGTTCTATTATTTTTTTATATGTAAAAAAGCGCGAAGTGCAGGCTATTGCTAACGAAAGAATCCGAACATTTCCGAAGATCACCGAAAAGTACGTACGAAAACAATTTCGCGCCAATTACGAATGACTGCAGTGATTAACGCGTAATGAGTAAAAAAAAACACATGTACTAGTTTCTTGTTGCATAGCAAGGCTTCTAAATGCATGCCCGGTATGTATTTGTCGTCATCCGACAAAAATCGATCGAAATCGAAGTTGGACAATGCAGGTGCTTCCCTCGTTAGCAGCGCGAATGAGATATGCCTAACCATGATTACGATACTGTTAGAATGCTCCCAATACGGTGGCAACAAGAACACGAATACACGTGCACGAAAGCAGACGAAAGCGGTATCTATCGCGCGTGCTCGAAAGTGTCAGTGAACTCAAATATAGCCGCTAGGTATATAACCGACAACGCCATTCCGTTCGAATTTTTTCCCCAAAGCGTTCGTTCCACACACTCGCGGTATATCGTCCCTCTGAGCAAACATCCCTGGTAATTCGCGTGGCTAGCAAGGACGAACCGTGGATGCGCCATACGAGGGTGTAATTTCCGTTCACGTAGAACCGGGGCGAAATGCAACGATAAAAGCGGCCTATCGTAATTACCGGTGTCCAATTTCAGGCGTTCACCTCTGCTCGCGTTACTTCGTCCGTTAGGATATATTGACACGTACGCCTTTTATGGGGCTAATCAAATGTAGGGTGAAAATATTGTATTAATTAATCCGCTCATTTTATATATTAATTCCGTCATGGTTTTTATATTCTACCCGAGTGCAAGTTTATGACCACAGTAAATAGCACAACTTTACGATTGCACTGTTATATTATTAATTATACTTAAAATGACTATGAAACAATGTACCAACATTATCGATCGAATAAACCCTGCGTTTCGGTTCTCTAGGGTATTTAATTACCGAACAACTGAGCGTTAAACCCCATTGATTAATATTCTAACCGGTATGAACCAAATTTAATTTCGCTTAATAATTCAGCACGAGTTGGGACGAGATTTCCCTGGGTTTCGTTTAAATGCACTGCATAAATTCTGTCCTGTTTTCATAAATTCTACGGCGTTACGCAAAAATTGTTGCTTGCACCCGACACAGCGAAAATGTGGATGATTTAATACACTGCGATCCTACAGATTTATTGAAACGAATATAAAATATACAATTGAATTGAAAATTCAATTTCTTTCGTCTTGTATTAATTAGGAATATATCTACTACCTCAAGTCGGCGGCAATATAGCGAGAGTCCTTTTTCCTAGTACCATGTCAGTCGTTTGAAGGAATTATTTATTCAATTGTCTGTAAAAAACCAATGTAATTATCAGTACAGTGTTAAGTATTATCATATCATTATTCATTTAGACGTGTTAACATTAATCAACTTAATGATAGTCATTGTATCGACCGATGCAAGAACTGATACTTCGTTGAAAGCCGAAGGTCACGACCATAATTACATGGGGTTTAAAAGCAAGCGGATTGTCTGCAATAGCATGAAATTTTATGATCACCTTGTAACGTGACGAAATTTACCTCGTTTAATGACAAAACGAAACCATTGATCTAACGCAATCCTTGAGATTCTTCGAAGACAGTTTCACCGATGGACACGATCTAGTTCCTCATCTAAGTCGTCCTACATTGACTTCGTGGAATTAATGTTGGATGATTAGAATGGCTAAACTAGGTCACAGCTTTTAGAATCCTTTCCGATGTTCTTGAAACCCTCTGAAATAATTACCTATCAGCTTAGAATTCCAATATGTAGGACATTTTAATAACTCAGCTTTATGTAATCGTTACGAATGTGTTATAAATAGCTATCTAATAGTCTTGTGAGCAATGCTTACACGTTATAGTACATACTTTAAATATTTAGCGTTCTGTAGTCACTATAAATGATAACCATAAGTCATCACAACTACCAAAACTGTTTCATAGTAATTTTCTTGTCAGACTAGTCATGTAGACATACTGCCATTAACAGCAACATCAGAAGATTAAACATCAAATACAAGATCTATATTAAAATTTTCTACAACCCTAAATCTCTACCTTCCTCATCTCTAAATCTATATTTATATCTAGATCCATTTATCCTGTTATTCCCGGTTATCATAACATTGAAGCTGTATTCCTGCTATCGTCGTGCCACATTGTGGGAATTAAATTTCTTTTCTATAAGCAAGGAATAGTAGCAAAAAGTGTGTTATTCAATCCTGCAAATGGATCTGAAGCTTTCCTCTGATACCACGTTCTGCGTGTACGTTTCCTCAGGTACTCGTGTCCTTGTGATCCATCTATGTTACACCGCCGTGTCCACGGCACAGCCCCGTTTAACCGCAGGTAATATGGTGTATCCAGTTTCCAGAATAAAATAGCAAGGATCCAGGGATGCGAAACTCGTGGAATACCTTTCGTGCTGAACTTTACACCAAATCCGTTCTATCTGGTTGCCTAGGAAAATCAATGAAATTCTTAACGCGTGTAGAATTATTATTTGAGAAAGCAACAGGTTCTATGAATTCCAGGTGGAACGATTAGGTAACGATAGCAAAAGTAACTATGCTGTATTTACATGAAAAATGATTATACGATTCATCGCAATCATCGACTTTCACTCGCTGAACTGCAGGCTGCAACGGTGTGTTGTAAATTGCTTTCCTGTTCGAGCCTCTCACCCCTTGACCTTATTCTTCGTTTTCACTTCGTTGCGTGGTGGAACAAAAGGACCTCTCGCGTGTTCGTTTTACAATTCTTTATCGTGCGAATATTCCTTTTTTAAATTATGTGCCTGCAATTTAGGCTTGCTTTAATTAATGGGAAGAAGGGTAGATTCTTACCGTTTGTCCAAGGACTTGTGGGAAGATTCAAGGTTGGAATCTGCATAGACTTTTCCTAGACTTTATCCTCTACCTTTTCAGCTCAGATATTTTCTAGGTTCAAAAGTGTATGTTCCATCCAACCATACAAGTGCACTGCATTCTAATATTCTTCAGGATTGAAAGATATCCTTAATTAATTTACTGAAGATTTTTTTTCCAGAAACTATTTATGACTAATTAATAAAATTTTCTATTCTGCTTGCAGAGATGAGCGGTTCTCGACTTGGCAGGGGCCGGGGTGGCCGCCTAGCCGTGTACGGGGGTTGTGGCGTAGTGGTTGTTCTACTGGTGTTCCTTTATCGAGCTGCAACCTCAGAAATGGCCAGGCTTCGAGAACTCCATGTACAGTGCGCTCATCAGCAGGAGGCCCTCGCTGCTCAGCTTCAAGGTATCAATCCAGCACCCTGTTATCGGATTAAGATTCTTGTTAAAAAAATTGTAAACTGTACAATCATTTGATAATACAGAATGATAAGTTTTGTATTTACTCACTAATCTACATCATCTGCTACATTGTAAAATATTGGTTTTTTGATAAATGTGTTAGTTCTGTTATGTTTCCTTAAATGCTTTGCAAATATACTGTTCTTATCTTTTGATTACGGTTCACTATTTCAGACTTCTTTAAAAGGCAAATTTTAATGAAGGAAGATAAAAGATGCACTGATATGTTTCTTTGATTTCCAGTGATATTCGAGTACAAAGTGCGATTAGAAAAGTCCCTAGCCGAGGAGAAGAGCTCAAACGCTGCTGTGAAGCAGGAACTTCAGCAACGTGCTTCTCGAGAAAAGTCTCTAAGAGATAAGGACAGTATAGAAGCGATGCAGCGGTTCAACTCGCTTCAGCAAACTTACAAGCTGCTGCAGACGGAGCACCAAGATCTGCAGGAGGAGTGTAAGAAGCGCGAGAAGCAGGCCTCAGAGGACACAACCAGATTAGAGAAAGCGTTGGAACATCTGAAGACCAAGTTCTTGGAGCTGGACACCGAGAAGTCGAGGCTGAAAGAAAAGTATGATGATGTGATAAAGAACAGTGGAAATAGTAATAGTACCATTGATCACCTGAAGAAAGAAGTTATGCAGTTGAAACGTGAACTGGAACAGGCTAAGGTACCAAGGCTATTCGTATAATATAAATCCTTGACACGCAGATTTGCTTTTAACCAGAAATTTATTTCTACTCCTGTTAGAAATCGTCTAAAGTAGTTAACCCAAGTCCGGCGAGTTCACCACCCTTACAACGAACGGGTCAACAGGCGAAATCTGGATGGGCGGAAGCTAGGAACCAGGAACAACCGGTTGGTCCATCGCAGCAACAACAGGTAAGTCCACCGAACAACGACGATAAGAATCCGCAGCCCCTACACGCGCCCCTCGCTCACCACGCGATTGGAGATCCCTTGCAATCGAATGAGCAAAGATTAAACGAAGAAACGAACGACGGCGACGTTCAGTTCGCACAGAAGAACGGGAATATCGTTCCTGTAGGCCCGAATGAGGCGAAAGACGGAGAGGTATTACAAAGACCTGTAGAAGTATTACCGCAGGAGAAGCAATACCAAAAGGTAGACAATGATCAGTCAACGACCAGTAGAGTAGTAGTTCATAACATTGTAACTGACAGTGTTCACAAAACTGATAATCCAAAGGAACAAGTTAAGTCCGCTGTTCCTCTTGACGAGAACAGTATGCCACGAACGTCTGAAAAAGTTGAAGAGAAGTTAGAAAAGGCTCACAACAACGTAGATGGGATTTTCAGTCAATTTTTGAGGATGATTTGACAATCGAGCTGGAGCAATTGCAATCCTTTTCATTGAAAATTCTTTGGATAATACTGTTAACCCATAACTGATGACTCCATCAGATGCCAACCATTTTTTCTTCTTTAAATAAAGGACAACTAATTGTTTAATAAGGAAGCATACTTAATTCACCTACTATCTCCTTTCAATTTTGTTGATTTATACTGTTTATGCCACAAAGTGACAACTGTACCAGTTATGGGTTAATGTTTCAGAGTGATCTGTTTGAAAAGGAAGAGCTTTTCAAATTAAGTATCAGGTTGTATACTCAAATATGGAACTTCATAAGTTCGCTATTGATTTCTGTATGACTGAATATACCCTAGCTCAGGTTCTAACTGTGATTCCTTTTAAAATTTGATGTGTTTGCGAAAAACGAACAGTCCTGGCTCGTGGAGATTCAAAACAAGTGCCTTTGAATACTTCAGTTATTTGCACTTTCTGAGGATCAGAGTTTCTTTCTGTGTAATTTTCCTGGTAATATTTACACATGCACGTAATTTGCATGGTTTGTACTGGGTGCTGTAGATAGTTGACTTCTCTAATTGATTCAGATAACTCAAAGATATTCTGTAGAACCACATTTTTAGCAAATTATTGTAGAGTTTATAGAAATTGTTGACATGGTGATAGAGGATGTGAAAAAGTTGTGGAATTGTGTGATATAATTATTAACCATCCTTCTTTATTAATTTAAAATTGGCATTATGGAAATATTTATTCAAATCAACAAAGCATAGAGGTGCCGCTTCTGTTCCTTTCAAGTGCACTTAATATTATGCAGTTCCTTTTTGCAAACAACTTCATTTCTTTTTAGAAATATATTTAAATATATCAATGACAATAACCTACAAGGTGTATAACACAAAAAAGTGATGAAATATCCTGAAAGTGAGATAAAATTGTTGCATAATAAGAAATTAGAACAAGGGATTTGTGTACAAGAATTTTAAACATTATAATTAATATCTGAGTGTTGAAATGTGAAGTCCACTAACGCTATTCTATTTATATTGTTTTAATGGTCACAGGTGTACTAGGTGTTCTAACATTTATTTTTACACAGAGTTCTCTGACTAAGGTGTTAGAGGTGCAATATTTTAGATACTACTTTGTGCAACAAATGAACAAATATTTGCAATGACTGTTGATTTAAAGTACTATTTTTTTTATACATTTATATTGTTATAATTAGCAAATTGTCTTTATAGAATGGAATGTATTAGGCTGTCATAAGTAGTCAATGAATTTTTTAAATAAATTATTATAGAACTTCAGTGTTTGGAATTCAGTTAAGAACTTCAAATACTTCTGATTTCATTACTGAAACTTTGAGTTGACAGCCTGATGCAATAAGGAGCTTTTTGAAAGGTTTATCTGGAACAACTTAACGAAGAAATGAGTAATGTACATGTAGCTTGCAAACTGTATTGAATGTGCCTGTATGTTTGTGTTAATCAATGCATTAATAAACTGTTATTATTTTGATCTGCTTGCATTATTTCTGGCACCCTTGCACACTACCTAACTAAACTCATCTGCTTCCATTATTCCTAGTTTGCTATATATCAGTTCAAGTTTTTTTCTGAGAACAGTTGAATATAATTAATTACAGCTTTTTACTAATTGATTTTAATAGTTTTTCTTTCATCTCCTAGTGAAATAATTCAATCACAGAGGGTGAAAATGATCAAGATTTTGAATGGTTCTAAAAAATGATATATACTAATAAAATAGAATTTCATTATTTCCATTTTTCTTTTGTTAGAATAATCTTAGTAAACAAGATGGTGATTAAAAACTTTGCTGATTAATGTAGAATATAGAAGTACAAAATTAATTTAAACTTTGCGCTTCTGCTTCCTTGTTCAATGAAATTGCTTTCCAGTAACTTGCTCCTGCCCTGTTCGCATTAAAATGCTGTTGCTTCCTCAATCATTTGAAAATGTAAAGGAATTATTAAATACAAAGAATTGTATTTTTAATTTTAATGTTCAATTATTAGAACAATAATTGTGATTCGCAAACAATTGAGTTTCCTAGCTTTTAATTAGAGTTCACAAATTTTTATTTATGTCATAATATTTTTCAAAGGAAACAGCATGCTTTAAGCAATAATTTTTTATTCATATGCTTTTATAGTTTTCAAAATAAACTTTCAAAATGCAAAGCAATTATATTTGAAGAATAAGTATTGTTTTTGAAAAACAATTACTATGTCTCAAAAGAGGTAAGTAATATGAAGTATCTCCATGAGGTATCATAAAGTTAATGAAATCATTAAGAAACTTAATGAGATCATTATTGAGATGGGAAATTATAAAAAAAAGGGTGTAAGTCAATAGAATTTACCTTGATCGGATGAGGGTTAAGATTTACATCAATGATGAAGAAGCCAGAAAGAAAATCCCCTTTTTCAGAGCACGGTGACCACTAGCTCAATGAAGTCGATTCCAGCCATAAAACTGGAGACTTCAACACCGGCCAGCAGCGGTAACCCAGTATCGACGGCCCTCGATAAGCCTCATCCTCTTGTGAAACCGGCATCAAAGGCAAAACTTCCGGTCGGTGTACCACCCATTCCTGTGATGATCGACCCGAAGCTGGAAAATCGTGAAGAAAAGAGGGATGAGCAAGAAATGTCTAGGAAAAAAAAAGAAGAACCGAAGCTTTCCGACAACCCGGAAAGCAAGGAGCATGAGGTCGAGAACGGGAACCTGGAACCACCGTTTCCGGCGGTATCCGGAAGAAGGGGGGAAGAGCTGCCGGCAGAAAGGAGGGAAAACAGGTGGTTCAACGTTAGACCTGGCGTTCAGGAAATTGGCGACGAATTGAATCACATTCGACTTCCTGGGTATTATTTTTATTACATGAATATTTTAGTTTGTAAAATGAAAGTTTGTCAATTATCTGTTCAATAGTTTTGCTAGCATAACTATGTGTAGTGTGATTAAAAATACTTTTAGCCTAGATGATGGTGCAGAACATAATGTTGAAGCAGGTGATGACCAGTACGAAGGTGTTGATTATGATAAAGAAACCCAGCAAAAGAACAGTGACTTACAATTAGTAGAGGGTGAAGATGAAGGTGAAGGTATGATCAATTAGAACTTTCCTCTTTTAGTGTATTTTGATTTACTTTAATGTTCTTTGTAATTTTTCAGACGAAGAAGACTATCCTCATAATCTGAAACAGGAGAAACACGAATGAAGGATCATTTTTAGGAGAGGTAATAATTACTTAAGCTATTGAAAAAAGATAATATTATAATATACTGTCCATGTTTTAGATTTCAAAGGTTTTGGATAAAGAAGTACAGACCTCATTTGGGAGGAATATTTATTGATTAGCCGAAGTCTACTACTTAATGGGCTAATCTCATCATTGGCATTAATTTACCAAGAGAAAAAGAAAGAGCAAGATTTTAAGATAGATGCACCACACTTTTGTTTTCTATTCTTCCTTAATTTTTAAATCAATCTTCATATGAGGAGCTAGCCAAATGGTGTAGATAGTCGATACTCTATACAGATGCTATTTAAGTGCCACTGCTCGGCCAATGAGCAAATTGTATTTTTTATGAAGAGATTTGTGGAGTGGTTTGAGCAGAGGATCGATAAAAGAAACAGACTGTATTTTTCTAGAATTAATTCTAAGATAGAGATGATATGTATTAAAATTTCCATGATCAAAAGAAAATTTATTGGAAAGATTCATACTTTCATTGGCAGATATCATTTAAAACTAAACAAATTAAAAACGCATTTATTAATTCATTTAGAAACACAAAGATCCCAATCAGAACAGTATTTTAAAATAATTGTTAAGTACAATATTTTACATTTATATAAGTTTTTAGCCTATATTTTTATACCTATACAATTTTATAAAACAAATCTAATCTTTCATTACGTACTTTTGAGAATCTATTTTCCCTCTGTTGCTATGTCAATTGTGTGAGATTAGTATTGTTTCTGATGTTCAACATAAAGAAAAATTAATGATGGAACGTTCTGCCAGTGAAAGAATTGATCGTCCTTTCCTTCAGCGAGGCAAGTACGCAGAATTTGTGACTTAAATGCACTCATTACTTAAGCGTCACTGTGAAAGTTTCTAAAATAGGGACGATCAACTGATTGTTCTCGTCGAAACCGTGCAATATGATCGTGCAAAGATAAACGTGATTTATTTATTGCCTATCAATCGTCGTTCAGGCGCTAACAATCAAGACTTAACAGAATGAAAGCAACTACTTTAAGGAATTTACTACGAGTATAGATTAATATTTGTTATGATCATAGATATCTACTTATACACTGACCCAGAGAGAAGTGATTCACATGTACATAAAATTCTTTTCATAATAAAAAAAGCAAAAACTTCACTTTTTTGAGTTACTCCATCACATTATCCTTATATCTACAATGTTATAAATATTTTTACTATATTGTTAATGTATTAAGTGGTTATAAATACTTTGCGAACAAGTTTCCATACTTTTTCAAATTTAACTTCTTTAGTTCTCAGTTCCTACTACTAGATGGCTAAACTGTTGAATCATTCTATTTCAGAATAATTTCGTTAGAGGTCGCTTTCGTCAGTGCAACGATATTTTGCACTCGAACGGTGAACATGAACTAAAGTTCTTTTAGCTAGAAATGCGTTCGCTTGCTGAAGCGTCCTCACTCTCATCTTGAATTTCAACATGGACAGTCGAAAGGTATGTAAGCTCATTTTGTACATTTCATGTAATCCATTTTAATCACGTGCATCAATGCATAAAATGCAATAAATGCAGCAATTTTCGATTCACTTTTATCATTTATCACTGTATTTTAATTATTTACTGTTACATTTTTATAAATTTTCATTTTAAATGATGATATGTTAATAGTCTCGTTCGTATGATACAATTCTTGATTACGACCCAAAATAAGGCTCTGAATAAATTGAAACTTTTAACTATTTTCTTTGTAAACGATTAATCGATTATTCAGGATTTGATTTTTCCTTTTTTTCTTAGAATTGGCTCGAAATGCTACTAAGGTTAATCTATAGACACGTGCTTTGGATTGCCTCGCATTGATGCTTGTTTCTTCGGCTTGCTCACACATTTTCTAGTGAGTATTATTTTTTTAATGCATATGTCTTGCTTTCATTCCGCATTAAATGAACTGAAAATATTTTTATTTATCAAGAAAATAACACTTTTACATTTATATAATATGATGTTAAGTTACTGCCCCAGTCCGATGGTAACATGAGGGATTCAGTTTTCTGAAATAAATTATATAAATCAGTAAATAATGTATTTAATCTAAATTGTATGTTAAATGAGATTTTTTCTCTTTTAGCATACAATGGCAAAGATGAAGCTACAATACTTTACAATGGATTGTACTTCCTTGTTCAAGATTGATTTGTTGTTTATACCAGTAAGTATAGTTTACTGATTTTACATTTTACATAGTTTTAATAAATATGTTGAACATGATGACTCACATTATTACCGCCTTAGTCAACCAGAAAGGTTTTGTTGAGAATTAAAATCTGATAAGCCACTATAAAAACTATCAATTTTTCAAATAATTCCTGATACAACATAGTCATATACATATATTATTTCAGGAACAGATATGAGGCTTATGTTGTTGAGAACTTGGAATGTAAAGCATTTCACAATACTATCAGTTGAAAGTATTGGATGCAAAGAAAGGAAGGGCACTGTAAACTGTGGTTGAAGGAGTAATTTTTCTTTAGTTAATCATGTACTAGTTCAAAATGGATCTGAATCGTGAGCACTTCCGGGCGATGATTTTCTATGACTTCAAAGTTGGTTTAAGTAGAGTTCGTAGCTTGGAACGCTTGCGTAATGCGTTTGGTGACTCCTCGCCTTCCCAAGCCACAGTTTACAGATGGTTCAGAGAATTCCAAAGAGGTCGGGGATCGTTGGTGGATGAAGAGCGTGTCGGTCGACCAGTCACAGCTGCGACTGACGAAAATGTCCTAGCTGTGGAACAAATGTTGAGCGAAGACAATCGTGTGACTTATGTACAAATGCAGGCTACTTTGAAGATCGGATCAGCAGCAGTAAAAACCATCCTTCATGAAAAACTTAATGTCAAAAAACTTTGTAGTCGTTGGATCCCTCATCATCTGACAAACGAACAGAAACAGACAAGGGTGAAATGGTGTCAGGAGATGCTTCAAAGATTCGATAAAGGGAATTCAAAAGCCATCTGTGATATTATAACGGGCGATGAATCTTGGCTTTATCAATACGAGTCTGAAAATAAATCAGGTGTATTATGGGTATTTTCTGGTGAAACCCCTCCCATTAAAAAGGGCCAAAGCATCGGGAAGAAAATGATATGCTCTTTCTTTTCTGCGAACGGCCATATTGAAACTGTAATATTGGAAAACCAGAGAATAGTGACAGCAGAATGGTATGCCACTGTATGTTTGCCACAAGTCTTTGAAAAGCTGAAAACTAGGCAGTCAAAGATGAATCTGAAAGGGGTTCTACTACACCATGATAGTGTACTAGTTCATTCAGCAGAAAAAACCGCCAACTTTTTCAAGGAGTTAGGGATCGAGGTTCTTGGCCATCCACCTTTTAGTCCTGATTTAGCACCCTGCGATTTCTTTTTGTTTCCAAAAGCTAAAGAAAACATCAGAGGACAACGATTCGAATCTTTAGAAGCTGCTGTAGCGACCTACAAGGAATTTTTAGACAGCATTCCGAACGAGGAATGGCGGACGGAATTTGATAAATGGTTCGACCGAATGAGAACCTGCATCCGGCTTGAAGGGGAATACTTCGAAAAGATATAATTGTAAATGCTCTTTATATAATCATTTGTTATTTTACGAAAATTCTTATGATGAATTATTTAGTTATCCCTGTCTTACATGCATACATGGTGATAATAATTTCTCTGATATTAGCTTAACTTTTATAATAAAGAAGCCGATTATACATTTCCCATGTAGTCTAAGTAAAATCTTTTGTTACAGGAAAAACTGTAAACGGATTTATAGAAACATTCAACAAGCAAAAAAACCGGTGAGTTCTTTTTATTATTCAGTATTTTTGTGGTAAGGATATTTTGTGATGATTTAATTGACAAGCATATGTCTGAATACATTTTGATGCAACATTTCTTTCTGACTACAATCCACAATGAACATTAAAATTTTAAATAAATGTTTGGATTATAAATTAATTGCACTTTTATGTTGTTACAGGGGATTCATATGGTTTACGTAGTCTCAAAAACATATCATCACTTAAATATTAGGTGAGTAATTCGATAAACGTAAAGTTTGCTTTTATTTGGAACAATGATGTTACAAAATTATACGCTATAATGATTCATTACGATGATATGCACTTGCCCTCACTGAGTATGAGAATCATAAACAAAGAACTTGTTTAATATAAATCTTTATATTACAACATAGCTATAATTTTTACAGGTATGCTACGCCTACGTAACATGTGCAGTAGGACACAAACATAACCTCTTTATAAAAAAGGTACATATCTGCAATTTCTTAAGTTATTAATAAAGTTATTAACTTTACGATTTAATGATGGTTTTTAAAAATATACGCTATGAATTTTAGTGATAACTAATTATATTTCTGATATGAATATTTATAATTATATTCTGCAATTTTTAAGTATGTAAAATTTAATGCATTGTTAATTTGTATTTCAGCAAAGTCCTCGAGAATGAAGATGAAGAAGTAAAGAATGAAGATTTATATACTTATGGAATTACAGTGGTATCGCGTTTAACGCTACTCTTATCTGAATAAATTTTTTCTTTGTATGAATACGTATTATATATGTTCTCCTTACCCTCATTTACCATGTATAATGGCCTCATTTACAATTCATTTAACATTTTGTCTCTTAAAAATATTTTGAGCAATTTGTATACAAGTAATCTAATGCTGTAAATTGTACAAGCATGAAACCACAAATCCGAACAGTTTATTTATTGCTGTCTTTCTTACAAAATCATTGTATTTATATATTCATCCCTTAGTATAAAAATACAGTTCGAATATCATAAATTAATATACATCTCACAAAAAACAGAAACAATACAAATTTTGAATGAAAAAAAAATATAATATGGCGGACTATCGATGCGTCTAGTAAGGTAAAGAACGTATGCGATCAAGGATGACATCCTCCATCGTCGAGTTCTGTAATTTCGCGCTGAATTTCGTCTCCTGTTAACGGGATAACAGAATGTGCAAGGAGATCGCATGCAAGGACATGCAGCAAAATGAGACCAAATATTTCAACAGAATACTATAGGTTTACTTCTGTGTTCCTGATACTCAGCGCGAGTTAGGTAACAGGAGCACAGAACAGAAGTAGAGGTTGAACGCTACCAATTCCCGCCATTTTACAAACTATCACGCGGTTACACTAGGTCTGTTTGATTGAGCGAGCGAGCCGAAGGCGAGCGAAGCTCTTATACTTGACTTTGCAACTTCTTTGTCCGCGTTTTTCCTTTGCACCACTCAACCAATTCTCGTCAAATTTTGCATGCACATGCGTATGTACATCCAGATGGACATAGAAAAAAAAAATTTTAATCGGACTTGCCACAAACAAATAATCACCGAAAAAACTGATCCTAAAAAGCGAGGGTCCAAACACGCATATAAGGAAAATAAAAAAATGAATATTTCGGCACTTTGACGACGTAGTATGGTTCCTGAGGCATTTAGAAACAAATTTCTATTAGGGTTTGATGCGTTTTGATGCCTAATAAAGCCAGGAAATCAATTTTTGTCGAATTCGGACCAAAACGGTACAGGTGGCGCCATCTAGCGGCGAGCGGTGGAACTACGAAAAACTAAAATCTCGATTTTCTCAAAAACTAGGGACTTTTCCGAAATTCTGAGACATACAAATTGTTCCTTATCGCCTACGGAATCGAACGAATGTAATTGTAGCCTGCTAGGACAATTATTAAGGAAAATAGAAAAATAGCCCATTTCATGGACTAAAAAATTGGCGTCCATCTAGCGGTGAAAGTTGGAACTATAAAAATATAAAAATGCGATTTTCTCAAAAATTAGCGAACTTTGAGTACTTCTGAGGCTCAGAAAGTATTATGTGATCGCATTAGGAGCAAAATAATGCAACAAAAGCTTCCTAAAGACTTTAATTAAGAAAATAAAAAAAATGTCATTTTATGGAGAAAATTTGTGGCGCCATCTAGCGGCGAAACTGCGAACTAAACTGAAAAAACGTATGTCCTAACACGCGTTAAGGAAAAATATAAAAAGTAATATTTCGCAACTTTGACGACGTAGTATGCTTCTTTAGACATTTTAAAGTAATTTTTGTTCAACAAGTTATTCATTTTTTTGCCTATTAAACCCAGAAAATCAATTTTTATTTGACCCCTTAACGCGTGTTCGGACATATTTCGGAAAAGTCCCTAGTTTTCGAGAAAATCGAGATTTTAGTTTTTCGTAGTTCCGCCGCTCGCCGCTAGATGGCACCACCTGTACCGTTTTGGACCGAATTCGACAAAAATTGATTTCCTGGCTTTATTAGGCATCAAAACGCATCAAACCCTAATAGAAATTTGTTTCTAAATGCCTCAGGAACCATACTACGTCGTCAAAGTGCCGAAATTTTCATTTTTTTATTTTCCTTATATGCGTGTTTGGACCCTCGCTTTTTAGGATCAGTTTTTTCGGTGATTATTTGTTTGTGGCAAGTCCGATTTAAATTTTTTTTTTTCTATGTCCATCTGGATGTACATACGCATGTGCATGCAAAATTTGACGAGAATTGGTTGAGTGGTGCAAAAGAAAAACGCGGACAAAGAAGTTGCAAAGTGGCTCGCCTTCGGCTCGCTCCCTCAATAAAATTTCTTCCTCGTATTTAGGAGACATGTAAATGATACACATTTGAATGAATGCTTGTTGGACTAGGTATATTATTTTATTGTAAAATAAAGTTTTACAAAATGATATTAACATTGTAAATTTAGTTCAATGATAAAAAAAAAAATTTCTGAGGTAAATAATCCGTAAGATATTTGAATAACGGTTAAACATAATAACAGTATAAAAAGATATTTTTTTTAACTTACAACATAAAGATAATCAATAAAACAGTTCAAATACTTAACGTAACTTAATATAAGTATAAAAAATTACAATATTTTTGTCCAAACTTTGTTCATAGAGAGCTACTATCTTTGAAAATTGCCTTATCGTGAGAAATAATTATTGAATATGCAACAAGTTCTTGTATTAAAATAAACCTTCAGAGAAATCGAAGTGTGCAATAAATATAATGTACAAATTTATTAAAAGTTTATACGAGTAAGCATACAGTACATTCAGTGAATAAATTTACAATTAATGAAGTACTTCAAGTAGTTCAAATAATATTAACTATTTGCTGAATTAAACATTTTAATATCTTGCAACAAAAGAAGTGTTGTAAATGTAATTCAATATTATAATTCTTGGCTTCGAAGGCCGATTACATGGAAACTACTCGAACGTAATTATCATTAAATAACTAAACAGTGCCTGTTATGCATAAATTTATTCCGATTTATCTAATTCATTATGAAATTTAATCGTATACACTTCTTCAAAAACAGTAACAATTTTTGGTATTTAATAGAAATACTTATAACAAGTACGAATTAAAAATAAATGTTAACATTAATTTGTTCATTTTTGTTCATTTGTTCATTAATTTATCTGTAATCCAGTCAAATATAACTTTTTAGATTTAATCTTCTTGTTCTTATACTTCAGTGAAAAATTTTGGTGTTTTTTATGTTACAGTTATATCAGAGTTAAACTCTGCATTCTAAAAAAGACTATCATTTAGATTCGTTTAATGTTTGCACTGATATGAATGATTCCTTGTTGCATGCCAGGATCTTAGGAACTCGGTTTAAATTTTTGCGCCTAACATTCTCGTCTAAAATCCTAGCTAAGTGTATCTTCATTATGCAACAAGCTCGAAGAGCACTTATCTCTTAAGTTCTTTAAGGAACAAGTGTACCATTGGTCTTATAAGGTCCAATTAATTTACTATCGATGACCTCCTTCCGGATCAGCAAAAAAAATTGATCGTGAAAGTTCGTAAGCGCTTGTCATGGCAAGCATTCAGCACCACCTTTTCAATATGAATTAGGGCACTTGTGATAAGTTCAGTATCTGTGCAGGTGAGCTAAGAATTACTCTACGTTTACGTCGAGACACTACACGTTTATCGTGTGCTATGTCACGCGTCACAATTTCAAGTGATATTCCGTGAGCGGATCGAACTCCTTTTGATGACTAGAATTCGACGCCATGACGTATCCCCATATACGCATAGCAGCTGCACAAACCCTTTGTATTTCGTCCACTTCCTCAAAATCGAGATCCGTCCTCCAGTGAAAAGGTGCCACTTTCGAATTTCGAAACGTACTAGATACACCACCCACGTCGTTCTTTGTATGTGTGTCCAAAAATCTTTTTACATTAATATGAAAATCTAAACCGTAAAAATTGTAGAGTTCCTTCACGTGTCTGTATGGATCTACAGATAAATCCTCGTAACGTACCACCCTGTTAAAATGTGTCACTTAATTTCATAAACTATTTAAAGTAGTGCAATACATTATAAAAAAACGTACCTAAAAGTACGTGGATATTTTTTTATTAGCCGCACAGCAGCATTGAAATCCGCGACCATGTCAGCACATACTAATGCTGGATCGGAACAATCGGGATTAGTGGGACACCATTCTCGGTGTTTCCTTGATTGTAAAATCCCCCTTGGATCTCGAATCAATAAAACTAATCGTACTCCTAAACTGAAAACACGTAAACGTTTATTTTCAATTCATGCATGTAGTGAAAGTGTAAGTGAAAGTATATTCTTACTCCTCTTGTTTCAAAAGCTTCTCTGCGGCTCGCAGTCTTAAGCGGACGATTTTCATGGATTGAAATGGAAATAGTTTGCAAAATTTAGAAACGAATCGTGGATCCCAACAAATTTTCTTATGTATTTGACACTGTTTCCATAAATGAGTATTATGATTGAACACCCACGGATGCGTTTTGCCGTAGTCCAAATATCGATCTAATAGATATAACAGATTCATTATTAGAATATCATTAGATATTATTGAACATATAGAAAAACTTCAAATTACCAAGATTAATAAAATCACATCTTAATAGAGATTCAAGGTTTCTAAGAGCTCTGTCAGCAAGTGGTGGCCCCCTGATTTGTACAATTCCAAAATCGAGTAGAGGTTCATAGTGATAAAAATTTGCTGGATGTGCGTTTACAACATCACCAAGGAATGTGCTACCGCTTCGCCAACTGGTTAAAATTACGCTCCTCATTGGTCTTCCCCCTTTTTCTAACACTAAATCCTCCAATTTACTGTAAAATTGATCATGTATACACTGTGTATGCACATGTTACCATTTTCAATATGCGGATCAATGTACCTAACATTGACTCCATATTTTCCATCAGGATACTTATAATCTTCCATTTCCCTTTCGATTGCATTTCTTTGCAGATCCACAACTTCTTGTATTTCAGAAAGAGTGATATTTTCTATGGATCCTCTGAAATATGCCTATAAAAGAATCGTACCATTTACATTTTATACCCATCTGATTTTATGTTTTAATTTGTTACAATGCAAGCAAAAGCATTAGCAATTTTTTATCATACTTATTCCCATTGCCATATTAAACGTGTTAATTATTTAGTATAAAGAAAAGGAGACAAATATTCACTTACCTACAGTATACTTTTACTCAAATCAAAATTAAAAAAAAATTACTTCAAACTTTGTATCAGTTTTTAAATATGTTCTTTTAACATTACATAAATTTTATTTATGTTAAAAAATATAAGCTAAAACGACTATTTTATCAAATAAACATACATGAATTTATGGATACGTGCATGTATTGCTTACCGTTACTGGATCTTGAATTTTGATGATGCGGGGCCTTATCTCAACATCCTATATTCAAGAATAAGAGATATTTATCATTCTGAAGGTGCACATTATATTGTGAACACGATAATGCTGCTGATGTAACCAGAACATTATCTTTCTCCCTCTTTCTTTATGTAGGTAATGAATTAGTGTCCAAAGTGTGCGATAGTGCAAATAAAATTATACATGTTATATAATAGAAAATGAAAAGTAGGGGTGAGAGTTTGGATGGCTTCTGGTTAATACAGAAAATAGTTCATAATGAAAAACAACATACACAAAAATGGAAAAAGCTCTACCATATGTACAAATAAACTCTTTCTCTATTCTTATTGTAATCAACCTAAATATGTAGTAATGTAACACATTTAAAATTCTGTTGCCACGATAGTTAATGAATGTTACATATAGCTAATGTTTTTAAGTCAATATTAAATTACCCAAATAATTCTTCAAATTAAGCAGAATGCTTCCCACGATCTTCAATAACTGTTGTCTCTAATGCTGCATGAAAAAACAAAAATGGAAAGGAGATGGAAACAGGGAGAAAGAGAGCTGGTAGTATTTTGCATGGCTCAATAGTTCATTGTTAGTGTACAAGTGGAAAAAAGTTAGGTGCAAAAGTTAGACTTTACCATCAGAAAGAGCGTGTTTGGCGTGACTCAATTTAGAGCAATCCCCACCTCCGATTTTTTACTGACCGATATCACCGGCTGCAGTCGATGCTCGAGATAGCTGCTGTAGCGTTGATTAAATGCTAAGAAGAAGATGCAAAGGGACGCCAGGCCTACCAGACCATAGAAGCTGAGCCGTTTTGACATCCTCGGTTCTGTGCAAATACAAATACTAATAAGAAACAGTGTGAAAATGAAGATGATTAATGGTCTATTTTAGGTTCAAGCAGATAAGACAACATGAAATGTTACACATTTCCTATGAGATAATTCTATGAATATATACCAGAAACTGTATAAGTAAATAACAAACACTGAGGAAGAACAAAATATGATTTACATATCAAACAAATATCAGCGACATAAATGCGACAGCGTGACATTAAGATTATTATTATTCCTTACCTCCGGATTAAATATTTTGTTACATTTGGAGAATTTCAGCAGTGAATAGCGGGCTTATCGAAGACCTCACGTTTTTCTCAACATTTTAATGTGCCAGCGGGAAACGTACAAACAACGTGCAGCATTCATCGTGATCCACTGACGCAGGATGTCCCGTATTGCGGTTAAGGCATCCATACGAGCCATACATTTATACGTATGTATAGATGTATTCGATTCATGATATATGTATGTAATCGCCGAAGCACAGGTATGCAAGGTCGAAACGTCTATTTCAATACTAACTGTGATATTAATCGTTGTAATTGTTCTTTTGTAAGAAAAACGTCAAGCGATTGACCTCAATAACCGCGCGAAGACAACTTTTATCTTGAATCACACTTTGATTTGATCTTGGTACATCATATGCAAATGTTCAGGAATTTCTGAAGATGTCACCAACTTAGGGATCCCTAACAGTATGTAGGACTATTTTGAGATCTAGAGGAGGGTCCCAAGAACATGGGGACCCAAGGATATACGATTCTAAGAATTTAGGACATCTCGATGTATCACATACTCGTGTTTTGCTTTTATGTATGCGTTCGTTTAGTACCGCGCGTTTAATTCACAATGAGATTTCCCCTCTTACACACATGTGTACCAATAAATGTGCAGCTTCTGAAAGATGCGCGCATCTGATTGGTTTGTTTCACACCCCATAAATGCCAGTGTCAGAGACCTCTTCCGTTCATTTCGGACACTGTAATGCACATTTTATTGGCAGACGATAAAGTGACAGGTAAAATAAATTCTTTTTTGCAAAAGAAGATAGTAAGAATGGTTTTTGGAGACTCGAAAAAGAATTTGTTGCCATTCTGTCATTTTCTAGATCATCGACGAGAGACGGTATAGCGTACGAACTGTTCTGAACATATAATCCATATCCTCGGACCTATGGAATATATTGCAAGTAGTATAAAGTCAATATTAATAAATATATAATAAATATGTAGCATATTAATCAATAAAATCGATAAAAATTGAATTTTTTAAAAAATTGAACAAGTGACGCCATCTCTCCGGCGAACAGGGTGAACTACACACTTTTGGTACAGCAGTTCCATTAGTTGCCGTCTTTACCGCTAGACGGCGCACACTGTACTGTGTCTCGTCGGCAACATAGAGAGTAACATTTCACTGATAAAAATTTTTCGTTCCAGTCGCCTAAAACTGTGCTCGTAGTTTTCTTTAGAAGAAGGAGTTTGTTTGCTAAATTTGGTAAAAATCGTAACATGACGTTATTCGGAAGTTTCCCCCAGATTGTGTTAGAATCTTTATTATCCGCTCTGTAAGAAATGTCGCAAGACGTCGCCACAGTTCGCTGCGAACGATATCTGCGGTGTTGATGGGCCGAGCAAAGCAGTTGGATGCTGTTGCTTGAGCGGTGCAGTTGTTACCATTCGGGGGAGGTATTTCGGTGCACGCTCTCCTCGTCCCTTTCTCTTTAATTCGATGTCACGCTCTTAACTCCGATTTTAAAGTTGCATCGTTAGTACCGGGCCGCGACATACGCTACATGAACGTCCGTATCTGTCCGTCTCTATATGCTGTCCTGTCTCTCCCTCACGGAGCGGGTTGAAAACTCGGCAGCTTCGCAGGGTATATTCTCGAAGTGGAAACACCTCGTGATCGGAGATAGAATAAACGTGAATTCGCACGCGTTTCGATACCCGGACAGAGAACGTCTGCCGGTGAAAGAGACTCGGAACTCGAGCGTGCATCACGATGCATCTCGTCCCGTGGTTTCTTTGACTGGACGTGATAGAGTTGTTTCGTGGTGCAACGGAAGCTGGACTGATTCGGCGAGAAGGTTTAATAATAGTTCGCGACATTTTTCTCACATCTTCAGCCACGGAAATGTCACGCTGAAACTGTCCAAGGTAAGTTCATCGTATTTTGATTGGAATTTTAGCGGTACATACTGGTTTGACCGCTTCTCTTTTTCACTGACGTTTTCATGAGAATCGAGGTTTTGTTTATGCCGGCTGAAATTAGGCTACTGAATTATTATACGCGTTTGCAACCGCCGGCCTACATACGGGGTTGAATATACTTTGCATTTTAACTCGTCTATTCAATTTTAATTCGTGCATAGTGTTTAAGAAGTTACATCGAAGGTAATTAATCACAGTGGTCATTGCAAATGTATCCAAAATGGCAACCAAAATATTTTAAGTAGTAAATTACTAAGGTAATTCAACGTAGATTATATATTCTCTCGAACCATTCTGGCTTCAATTGTAAATAATCGTTCGATTATCGAGATGTAACGATTGATGCACTTGACAGAGTAATTAATGTTGTAATACATGGGAGGGGTCGATAACGAATTGCAAAAAATTAATAATTGAATTGCTATCAATATTTCTACTCTTCTAACAGCAGAAAATGATTTTTTTAAAAATCGAACGATAATTTCGTTGCCATGTCAACCATCTCGAACGTGTATCGAAAGATTCGATTTTCGAAATATTTAACGACCATGAATTTCACGGTGTTTTCACTGGTCTTCGAATTTGTCTTAAAAACACAGTCGCTGTTAAATTTTTCTGTCGTAAAAAAGGAGGAAAACGTAAGTAAATAAAACGCGCGAATATATCGAGTGCGTTACTTTCTTTTTGTCCGAACAAAGAAATTATTTACGCGAAATTTAATAGCCGCGGCAAATTTGCAGACGTTTAAATTAGTGAGGTTAAGAGCTTGCGTTTTAATTTGCAAATTTTCAAATTCCTAGATAAAGGAGTTTTTTCTGCGTGACTTTCCCTGCGGTTCCAAGGCCATATACCGAGACTCCGGCACAAAGTTTGCCCAGTTTAAAGCGGATTCTAAAATTAAACATCGATATCTATTTGCTGATGCATCGAGACCATAAATAATATTAGCCATGAAAAGTTGTGTTGAAGGAAACGCCCTCCATCTTTGTCCAAGTATTTTTATCTTTCTTCCATCGTACGATATGCAAGATTAAATAAGAGTAGAATTTTATGCATGCGATGGCCTGGACGTAATACCGAACGTGACAGAAATGCAAAGAAAGGAGGGTCATACAAGTAATATTTATCCTCGATAGCGGTACACGCTAAATAAAAAACATCGATATTCCAGCGACGATAAATGTACTGAATTTTCCTGATGATAACTGGCAACAGAAAGAGTGCGAACGCGGTACGAAATCGAAAGTGAAAGTGCGCCAATTTTGAACGATTGGCCCATAACCTCAAAATATTTCGGATTCGTAACTGCGAAAGAATGTTTCGTAGCTTATGGTGGCTGCTTGGATCGATTTTTATAATAAAGTGATACGGAAAGAAGGGACACATGAAGCATGAATTATTTATGGCCGGATATCACTGTACGAGGATGGCTATTCAATTAGGAAGATAAAGACAAGGAAAAACAGTCGGAGACGAAGTTCAGGCATACTTTTATCCAATTTTTCGCGTAGCAAATTGTAGAAACTTTTACCCGAAGCGTTCGTGATTTAGGGAGGGTAATCGTCCTCGACAGGCGAAGCAAGTTTTGTCAGTCTCGCATTAGTGAATGAACCGTAGAAAAATAGTGAGTCAGTCGCGTGCAACCACTTCGTTAAATACGTCCCAGAGACACGAACTATGATCGATAAAGTTTCTTGATTCGTGCGTGAGACAAGCGGTCCTTTTCTATCGATTTAAAATTAATTTACGGTAGAGAAGTTCGCGATGTTCAGCCACGAGGCTGCACAAAATCTATAAATTCAAAAACGAACGAATTTCGCGCCAGATGGCGGAGGGGTTCCGTTTATATGGCCCCCGCGTGACCCATATGTTCCGTTTATAACGGCGGTTCCGTTATATCCGTCTGTCCGTTGGATTTCCCTCGTAGGTAATTAATTGTGACTCAGCATGGTACGCAATTCTAGCCGTGATCTGTTATTGATATTCCGTGGCGTGGGGAATTATAACTTTTATCTCACTCTCTCTCTCTCTGTCCCTAGCTATATCGAGCGGATTAAACGGTCGACGAACGAGTCGTATAAACTTCGATGCTTCGTCCACTTCCTTGATGCAAATACCTGAATATTTTTGGATCCTGACATAGCCTGGACGAGATCATCCTGCGTTCCTATCCAGTCATCAGAAGAAACATTGGTATCCTATTCAAATTGTTTATCAAATCCTACCTCATATTTTAAATATTACCTAACCTAACATGACAACCTAACCTAACTTTACTTCTTTGGGAACTAGGAGAGCTTAGTGTAAGGAGTTTCTGTGAAGAATTTGAACAACGTGTTTAAGAGGAGCTTATTGTCAAGGAAGAGTACTAAAGAAGTCTAGAAGATAAGGTCCTAGGGAGATCCTTTAACCTAACCTAACCTAACTATTTTGGGATTTAGAAGAGTCTAGTCTAAGGAGTTTCTGTAAAGAATTTGAACAACATGTTTAAGAGAAGCTTAATGCAAGGAAGAGTACTAAAGAAGTCTAGAAGATAAGGTCCTAGGGAGATCCTTTAACCTAACCTAACCTAACTATTTTGGGATTTAGAAGAGTCTAGTCTAAGGAGTTTCTGTAAAGAATTTGAACAACATGTTTAAGAGAAGCTTTTGTCAAGGAAGAGTACTAAAGAAGTCTAGAAGATAAGGTCCTAGGGAGATCCTTTAACCTAACCTAACCTAACTATTTTGGGATTTAGAAGAGTCTAGTCTAAGGAGTTTCTGTAAAGAATTTGAACAACATGTTTAAGAGAAGCTTAATGCAAGGAAGAGTACTAAAGAAGTCTAGAAGATAAGGTCCTAGGGAGATCCTTTAACCTAACCTAACCTAACTATTTTGGGATTTAGAAGAGTCTAGTCTAAGGAGTTTCTGCGAGGAATTTGTAAAACGTGTTTAAGGGAAGCTTAATGTCAAGGAAGAGTACTAAGGAAGTCTAGAAAATAAGGTTCTAAGGAGATCCTTAATCCTAACCTAACCTAATGTAACCTAACGTTTTTGGGATTTAGAAGAGCCTAGTCTAAGGAGTTACTGCGAAGATCCTTAAAAGAACTCGCTTGTGTGGACAGATATCGCGTGAGGGACATTGTCCCTTACACTTCTCCATGACTTTTATAATCAACAAAATGGCAAGAGCAAAATGGCCGATCACCAAAATGGCTACCACCTCGAAACAAACGCAAACACCGTTTTGCATAAAGAGTCTCCAACCAGAATTAAGACTTCGCAAGATCTGAATAATTTATTACCAGAAATTTAACTTTGAGATTGGTCCCACTTAACCCTTCTTCAGTTCTACAACCTCAAATAATCCAGTAGTAAAATGTTCTTCCATCGCTCCAACAGTTGTCATTTTTTGCAATTGCACCTGAGTATAGTGTTATAAATTTTTAAAGAAGATTAAATCGTTACTCCAGTTACGAAGACTGCACGTACATGATGTCATGATCAACGTATCGGACTAGTTCCTTTTCTATGCGGGTCATTTCCGCGACAAATGAAATAGCAGTACGCCATGGGGGTAAATATTCTAGGGAGGATCGCGTTAGCCAAGGGCCATGTGGCCGAGAGCCGGTAAATTGTGCGGACATGTAAACACACCGAGGGCGTAATTTACGCAAACGACCCCAGAGTCGCATAGCGAAAGATCGTTTCTCGGTTAAAAAGAGTTAAAATATCACCAGACTGTGGTCAGCCATTGTACGGCACGTGTGCGCCATATGCTGTCCGAAATTCGACGCTCGGCCGTGATTCGTGAAATTAGGGCTTCGTTGCCATAAAACTGGATTGTTCTCAGGCTACTTTTCGTTGCACCGTTTCACTCTGAAAACTCGATCACAGGTGAAAGTCTGCCTTTTTTCCAAGGTGACATATTTATTTACGAAGCGGTGTCTCATTTCGTCCTGATAGTTAATTTCACGGCTGGAGGTAGACTTAACAATCAGTTACACGAGAATGTTTTATATGTAACTTTGTAGATAAGCATCGTAGTCTTCAGTTCAAACCTATACTTTTTTTATGTAATTGTTTAATCAATTTTGATTGTTTGTTATGTTAATGTATGTATGAACTGCGTGAGCAAAGAATTATTTCGTTCAGGTTAAATAAACCGAAGATGATAGTATGCTTTAGGATTTACATATCTGTTCTTCATAACCGGTGGGTTAACCCCGGTAAATTTATACGTGTATCTGTAATTACGAGTTGGAGCATCATAAAACTGATGAAATTGAAATTACGAACGCGATCTGATAATCTTCCAGGCCGCTTATTTAACCCAATCAGTATTCAAAGAAGGATGAGAATGTTGATAAGATCAGCGTAGGTTCTCCCAGCAAAATTTCGTTCGTTAATAATTTTCGCGTCATTAATTACTGTACAAGAGTATTTCCAATACGCGCGCCCCGGCGAGCGTTAATTATCAAACGAACACGTAAAACGGGGCTGTCCTAGATTATCGAGTGCCTGAAATAATCAGTACTCGAAGAAACAAGCAAGGAAGAAATTTGATAGCGTCCCAAAGGAATTCTTCCGGAGCAAAGTTTACATCGAGTATCCGGCTATAGTCCCGCTGTATAAATCCCCGCTTATGCAGGAAATTTTGAGAGGTCCAATTACTCGGACCGATCGATAGACGGACAGAAATTCGATCGAATCTTCAAAGCATCCTTCCAAGCGAAGCTTCCTTGCCTGTTAAAAGGGAGATCTGTAAATTTCCAGTTACGTAATCGGACTACTCGAAGAATCGAGATGAAAGCGAGAGATGAGTTGTTTCCTTTGTAGCTAATTTTCTAATTATCGAGTGACTGCGAGCGTGCCGTGGGAACATGGCTTACTAATTATGCGAACCAATCGATATTCCAGGGAGGTTATCTATCGTTTTATCAATTAATATGTTTATCGGTTTTGCA